TACATGTAGTGATCACACCCTTTAAACAACACCTGAATCCTCGTCATACATGTTTGTACATGTACTGTAGATTGTTGCTCACTTGTCATTAATGATATAACATAACACATTAAGCACAGCCAGGATGCCAAAAAATAGACATTCTACCGTCATTACCCAAGACAGAGTATCTAGCCCCCACACTATTGGTACATGTACGTACACTGTGGTATTCAAGTGTGGCAGGGGTCATACATCCTTGTGAAAAGAATATTCCAGGACTTTTCCAGAATGTTCAAGGTCACAAGTTTGATTTTTCAAGGACTCAAGTCAGGTTGGAATACATCTTGTATTGCGTGTCCAACCTGACTAAATCAATGAATACCATCATGACCATACGATAAAAGATTGTGAAGTTATAACATAACAACGTGTAGAAATCGAGCAGCACAGCGACAAAGACGTGGCAAGTTTTCTGACAGTGACATCATACAAAATAAACTTTCCCTAGTCCATGCAACGCTAAAGAAAAAGGTTCGACACAGTCACAAGTTTTACTTTTACACTGAGCTTTATTAGGTTATAATGACTGGAAATATTTAATTGCGTACTAAATAAAGTACATCAATTTAAAAGAGAATAATTTCATAATTATATCCACAACAGATACTTTACCATGGAGCTAGAAAAAACGAAGGTAAAATTTGACAAGAAAGTTTAGTAATGATATCCTTGGTGACCCACGCATGCAAAATAGAAAGAATCAATTGTGGGCACCATCTAAATATTATCTCACTCACAGCGTTACGTGCAGCGCGGGAGTGTCTTCGATTGTATAGACCACGCATGGTGAATAATATACATTGCACCACACAATAGCAACAATGTACATGGGGACGGATTGCCCGCGGTAAATTTTCGGTCACAGTTTATAAGATCATTTTTGTCTCATTTTAAAGTTTTTAATCATTACTGCAATATCCTGGAATTTCCATGACTTCTTTTGAAAATTAAGCATATTCCAGACTTTCTAGGATGGGCATAAAATTCCAGGATTTTCCAGGTTTTCCAGGAGGTGTGCGAACCCTGTGTGGTCACACTTTATCTACAGGACTTTTCCACTAGGCTTTTCCCAAAGAATGGCAGACCATGAATAAAAACTACCATGCCTTATTCAAACAGATGAAGAAATTTTTGAACTCATCTGTGACCCTGATAAGTAAAGCAGAGAAAGTTGAATGTTCTGTGAGATAATTAGTAGAAATTTGCAGGGCACACAGGAAACCTCAGTTGCAGCACTAATTCTGAAGTAAATAAGTTCTTACTTATATGACAAAGTATGGGACATTTACAAGGGTTTATTGAGGTATTGTATAGATGAGAATGATATCTCACATTTATGTAATACAGGTAAAGGCAGCATCTGTCACCTCATAAAATCAGTTCTCACTGCACAGTATTAAAACATTCATCAAAATACCAGATTCACAAATCTGAATGTACCGATTATAAGCACACAGGTGAATGATTTAACATGAGACCATCTGCATTATACCCTGCAGCAGTTTATGCATCAACATACTAACAGTTGTACTTTTGATTCCAACCCTATTGGCATATCTTGATCTTGACGATATCGACCCCGTAGCCTACAGCTACTTTGCAACAACAATTTCTATCGTACCTACGTGTAAGATTTAATTTTTTTTACCTGAAAATTCATCAGTTATCAAATGAAGAAATTATTCTGAAAAACAATAGGACATACCATGCATATGTTCAGCAACAAGGCACAAAATTTGCAAATTTGGTTAAAAACCAACTGATATTGTTAGTTTTGGAGTTGTGAATACGTTAAAACCCTAACCCCCAAGGTGGTATGTAAAATCGTATTGAAATTGGAGGATTTGGGACTGTTAGGGTAAAGGACAATAGGCCTACTGCACATTTTGCAACAGGCACACGCATCTTAACACAGACTTTCAGGTTTTCTGCTTGGCCTACCTGTGGGGAGAGGAACAAATCTGTCCACTGCGATTCTTGAGTTTTATAAGTAACGTTTGGCCTAGCAACAGTTTTATGAGTTATGAGTTGTGACCTACGATACAGGTCAGAATTTTAGCCGACACGCAGACACACTTAGTGTGTCAGCGTGTATCAAGTCAAACAGACATGGAAGGAAGTAACCGCGAACACAAAACACGCTGACCCCTGCATAACAGAGAACGCCGACACCGCAATCTGATCTGCCGAGTATAAACTTGCACACGCTACACGCAAACCCCAGAACAGCCAGGCCCTTGTTGAA